TTACGCTCAACACGAGCGATGAAATGAATGCCACAAACAACGAACGCCTGAATCTAACCAGCCAAATTATACGCAAAATGCAAACGGACACGCATCAAAACCAAAAAGTACGATCGCCAATGCTGAATATTGTATCGCATCAGCCGCTTGAAGAGCAATTCTGTGAAGTTTGGAGTACCGTTTCGAGCCGTGGATGGCTATCGGTGAAGGTAACACAAGTTCTTGATAATCTGTTGCAGTCATGTGGACCGTATTGGCTTGTCTCGAAGATGGTCAATGAAATTATTTTTTGTAAATTTTCCAAGTGGGAAAGTCGGGTCCACTTGCGAGACTTTTTTCTAACGAAAAAAAAAGATCTGGCCTCCAATTATTGCAACAATTTTTACTTGATTAAAAAGGTCTGAATCTCAATTACAATTTCCATCAATAGGATATCAGTAAATCCATGGACATAGTGTTTGCGGTTATGCATTTGAACATCCAAAAATGCACAGTAACTTTGCTGTCTGATATACTGCCAATCATTCTGTTGAACAAGACACAGTAAGTTAATTTAATACACATTTTAATATGACGTTTTATGAAAATCTCCCTTCTACTGTCGTCATTTGTAATCTCTATGCTCATTCTTCATTTTGATTTCAGAAAATTTGAGTTGATCGAACCACAGCTGTCGGTATTAGCTCGACTCTGTGTTTATTCCATAATGTCATCGCTTGAAAAGAATGCACAGAAAGCAAAGCTCTCGTTCAATGGGAACGATTCCAGTGATGAGCGCCCTGCTAAGATCCGTAAAATGAATGATTCACTATTAGAAATACTGTCAGATGGCCAAGAGAGAGCCGAAAATGTGACAAATGGTGACAACCAGTCATTGTTATATCTCTCTCAGTATCTCGTAAAATAGCTGAGACGGATATCTCAGCCAGCTGAAACGACGCAGGCGACGCATGACATAAGTCTGTGCTATGCACGTCTCTACATGGAATGAGTGTTTAAGTGAGCCATGCGGCATCCATACACAAAACACACTCAGTGGGATATGTTGTGGTGCTTTGTTCAAAGCTTATTTATACACTACATTGTTGTTATTCCATGTTGGCAGTATCATATACAATTCCATTACCAAAACATGCCAGCATTCCCTTCTATAACTATTGTATTTACGGTAAAAAAATATTCGATCAAAGTTTTGATAAATATTTACAAATAACATTTTTTTAAACATTTTTTTCTATATCAATTTATTGAAATAGGGGACATCATTTTATGATCGAACTATATTGGTATTGAAATATTTCAACTTATAGTTTGTAAAATTGTTGAAAGTTTAAAAGATCCGATATACGGCACACCGTTCACATTCAATTCAAATTTTTTCTCATGAGCTCCTATTTATTGTCTTAATTTTATATTATCCGTTGTATGTTTTGGTTTTATTTTAAATACATGTAACAAACTTCCATTCTAAAGAATGAATTAACTAGCTTTATTTTCCAATTTAACTTGAATCTGATATAGAAGAATGAATGTTTTTATGTATATGTGTTCCAGGTATATGTTTATTCCCACGGGAAAGAATTGAATAAATGGAAATTCAAACATTCGCCTCATTGGGTTCCAACGTTACGATCCTATTATATTCCTCATGGCGATAGAATCGCCATTTGTCGCCGCAACCTGCCCTGATTTCTTCATCCGTATCTCTAGTACGAAAAGTAAAACGTCTCAAAGACTCTAAATACGGCAACAAAGTTGGTAATACGTTTCTAGTGTTTTGAATCGCATTATCGAAAAAAATTTCTTTTAAAAATGGTAGCACAGCCACCAAATCCTCTGTCACTAACACATTTTTGAGTAAACCATAACGTGTAAACGTTAATTTTTCAATCATCGGATTTTCATTGATAAAATTAATGAAAAACCCAGGAAATGTGTGAAAACAATCAATTTCGAACTCTTTCAACTCACTGAATGAAAAAGGAATTTTTGTCAGGCTAGGAGCATTTATGTTGCATAATAAATATCGAATTTTGAATTTTTTAACATTTGAAAAATGTATCGAATTGTCATATTCTTGGACTTCAAAGCTATGAATATAAAGACTTTCAATAGATTGTAGATAGCGTTCACTGAAGCTATTGAAGTTATTGAAATTGCATGTACCGATCTCCAAACTTCTTATATTTGGATTAAGTTGGAATATGGTAGCAAGATTATCAAAAACCAGGACACTGTGACAACGCAATTTTAAATCTTGTAAATTTGGAAAATACTCCGATAGAACTGAGAGTTTATCTTCGAAAAATCGATTTAAATGCAAGCGATTCAATTTTGGGAACAGCGAGCTCAAACATTTCTCTTTAAAATTAATTAAAGCGTGGATTGTCAAGTCTTCGACGTTTAAAAATGGTTTTTCGAGGTATTCAATTCTCCACCCCTCGTCTAATGAAACTTTTTTTAATGATTCAGCGCAAAATTCGTCTATGTAACTCACAAGGCGTTTATAGTTTTCGGAACTATTTTTTTTATAAAATGAAAAAAACCGCAAATTGAGCTCGGTTATCAGGCCACCGAAGCAACGTACCATTTGAAAACCTTTTTTTAGATCTACAATCACTATATCTTCATCTCCTGTGTGTTTCTGAATATCTGTATAAGGCTCAAACATTATTATCCCCTTATCAGTGCTGTAATGTCTTATTTCCTGCTGATCAATCCTGACTGATTTCCCAGCATAGTTCCAAACGAATGGCATACGAGTGGCCAATTTAAGATATTTGTTGGAATCCGATACGTCAAGTAGGTCTTCCAAAGACAAATGAGCGAAGATTTTTTCCAAGCAAAATTGGTTGAGGTCAGTGATTTTTATGTGATTATTTGAATCTGTGCTCTCATCGAGCCTTTTCTTCTTCTGCTCCGGTTGACCATCTACAGTTTCCGTGCACTCTTGTTCCAATTCACCTTTTGCATCAGCCATTTCAGCCATTTTAAATAAATAACAAAGAACTGCAGTGGGGAAATCAATTATTTTCGAAATGTGTTGAATTATATATTATACCTACTCTCGAAAACACCAGGGAACAAAACTGAATCGAATTGAATGAAATAATTTGTCAAATAAATGGATTCTCTTCGAAATACAATTGAAAGTCACTTGAGTACATTTCTCTTTCTTGATAGCTCGTTGACATTATTGTAATAGCGCTGGTATATGTATTTGTCATATGTATACATAATACAATAGCATAGTACATATTAAGTATCATCTTAAATACTTAAACCACCGTTCAAAAGTCGTTCGAATAATGAAAAACATCAATTTCCGTAATTAAAATTTAAGAATATTATGTTTGATATGAAATTACTTTGACCGGTTATATTTACCTAGATGTAAAAAAAACAAATTTGTATCATTTATTTTCTAACGAATTCTTCTAGCAAATCCATTTTACTCATTAAGTCGTACTTGAAATTGAAATATTTTTGAAATCAAGAAGAATCATTGTTTATATGGAACAAAAGAAAACTTCCCATACGCTCCCCGTATGGTTCAACTATTAACTTGTGCGGAGATGCGTGGAGTTTTGTTATTGTCCAATCTAAAATTGATACGCAGCTAAGGGATAGAAATTCATACATAGCTAAAATCAAAACCCACAACAACAACAAAAATAAAACAATGCGAATAAACATATGAAATTTGGATCAGGGATCGAAAATCAGTTGACGTTTCTCATACAAACCGATTTTGGAACGGTTTTACTGCTCGCAGCAAACCGTATCAAGCGAAACGTTCTGAGTATGGTTTGTATGAGCAACGTTCAAGCGTGTTGTCACTGTGTTAGTATTGTTAATAATACACGTGAGCATAAACGTTTCTGTGTGCCATACAAACCATTTTTCAGAACGTTCCGAATGGTTTGGTTTGTTCACACACTCAAACCAAATATTCGCTTTAGTTTGGTTTCGATCCCTGATTTGGATTTTAGTTCATAGCTTTCATTCAATAATTTCGTATAACAAAATATGTTGAGAATGATTCTTAGCGGTGAAAATACTTTAGAGCATTTGCAGTTTGGTTAACACAGTTAGTGCGATCATTGAATTACGTGTATAAAATATAGAGAGAGAGACTCAAATTAATCAAGCGTGAATATTCGTTTTGCGATGTCGTCAATCATCCAGTCGATTGATGCTAAGAGCTTCTCGCCAGTTACAGCACTCACTCCCACGACGCTCCAATGATGCGTTTCAATTTTGTCCAATTCCAAAATCTGCGACGGAAAAAGCAAATGAATTTCGTTGCACAAGTTTGTTTATGGTTTTGCGCGTTTTTCAAGTTGTTATTTGACAACTAAAACGCGTTACAAACTAAAAATCGGTTGTTTACGTGTATAAAGATTTTTCACATCCTTTCCAAAAGTTCAAAGATTTATATAATTATAAAATGGACAAAGGAAATATTTTTAAAGAGCTGGAGAAAGTGTTGGAAGAAAAAGTTAATCCAGATAGATATAACAAATGGAACGACTGATGTGTGCGCGTCGTCCAGCTTCATGTTTGCACACAAACTCGCACAAGTTCGCGCATGTTGTTTTAATACGGAACTTGTCAACTGAGTGGAATCATGCAAGTTCTCTGGTGAATGAAACAATTTCGTGCGCGTTTATATCATTTTTTTACAAGTTTTCACGTAGTTAAATCCCCCTAGGAAAAACCTGCAATCGTCAGCCTTTTATTCTCAGCAGCTCATATATATATACTTTTTCTGTTTTTTCTTCTCTTTCTCTCTTTATTTAGATAATCGTTTATGTCAAGAGTTGAATACTGCAATCAGTCGTTTTCTGCATCACCGTGAATATGTTGAAGACGTCATCACAACAGCCAAGAAGATTTGATCGCCAGGTGTGTGTTTGAGTGAGGGAGTGTTTGTGTGGATTTGACTATGTTTGAGTTTGCATAGCTCTTTTTCTTTCCTGTCTTTGTCTTTGTCTTTCTCTTTATCCTTCTCTCTCTCTCTATTTGTTTTTATTTTCATTTCTCTCTCTGATGATATCTTTCTCTTTCATTTCTCTCTTTCTCTTTCTATCTCTTTCTGAAGATTCGCCAATTTACTTCAACAGCGCATTCCAAATCAAGGCGATCAAGACAATCAAGTCAATGACCGAGGTGAGATCGAAAGTCGTCGGCCAATTCGCTTTTGGTTACCCAGCTGAATGCGCCGCAAGCTCAATTTGCATCTTTACAGCGCCTCATAAACTGGCCACCAGGCGATCCAGGCGATGTAATGCTTAACATCGATGTTTCGTCAGAAGCAGGGGGCGTTTATCTACAGGCTGATCGAGTCTTCAGCTATGCCGAGGCCGCCACAATTTCATGAGGGCGACGACTATTTGGTGCGACGCACAATTATGATTTTAGCGCGAAAGCCTGCTGTTGAGCTACCTCCACCGCCACCAACACAAACACCAATGCCATTGGTATCGTCGCCGTCACCACCTGAAAATAATGATGATGATGTTGTCAATGATGTCGTGAAAAAGCAACGAAAAATCAAAAAAAAAAATCAAAACTAAAAAAGAGAAAAAGGAGATTTAGAACGCAAATCTCTTTGTTAAATTTCGAATCGATTAATTGCTCATATTTATCAAAAACGCCATGCCTTCATGCCATGAATCGTAAACAGATGATTAGCCGAATTACAAGCGATAAAATAGCAAAGGAAGCTCATCCATACGCCAAAACATATTTTTCTTTGATAATACATTTACTTGTTCTGAAATATGTGTGCATTCAAAGGGTTAGACACAAATTCATACTCAACAAACACTCGGCGATACTAGAATCTACTCGATGCTACTCGGTGCCATTTGGTTCAGTGTAATGTGTAGTATACACAGAGAACTGTCAAAGTCAACTGAGTGTTTTGAGTAGTTTCGAGTTTACATTTAAAATGCATGGAGTTACTCGGAACTACTCGGTGCAAAATGAGACAAATTCGTCAAAACTTGTACGTTAAAAAACTGTGTCTACCCCCTTGTGTGCATTGGTTCCTCTAGTGAACACTTCATTTGGTTCTTTATTATGCAGAGGTTATCAGCTTTTCTGTTTTTTTATTACAATTTTTATAAATAAAATTCCAAATTTAACGTCAGATAAACTAGTTTTTTTGTGAATTTGGTTTGCTCTTTTTCGAAATCTTTTTTTGTTTTCAAAAATATTTCTGAACTTTCAGTAACTGCGTGTACACCTGGAAATAATAGCTACAAAGTAGGAATGGTTATCGATGAGGACTATCCTCAGATAGGAAACGTTGAAGAGTTTGTTGACGATCCAATTAATCCACATGTATGCCAACTCAATGAAGGAACATCACATTTGCTTGTGTCACAGCCAAATCATCCGAACAACACTTATTCAGACAAAAGAAATCAATCGAATGATGCTGCAATGTACTATTTTTCTAAGGAGAGCAGAGTGTCGAAGCTAAAATCAAAGCGACAACCGAAGAAAAAGAATAATGGGACAATTGAAGTGCTTTGTAATCAATAAATTTGATTAAAATGATTCGAATCACTTCGAGTTTATTGTAAAAAAAAAACATATGTATAAAATCTAGATTGCCACAGCTTTTCTCTTTTTTTATCTTTTCCTTTTTAATTATGGAGACAAATTCCATTTTTTTTTATATTCTTTTATTTAAAATTATCTTTACAACTTGTCAACTAGCCACTATTTAAAACAAACTCTACCTTGAAGTAAAATTTCGCATAGATTTTCTCTCTTTCTCTTGTCTGCTCATTGAATTGCATGTTTTCTCAAAAAATCTTCTTCTTTACTGCACTTCAACAGCTCACTTGCTTAGTTGTAAACCGTTCTTTCTTCTTTTCAGAAGAAAAAAGTGCATTGCTAAACGTTCTTTCTTTCTTTTTTCTCTTTCTTCTTGTTGCTCTCATTTGTTGATAAGAAATGTTACGTTTTCGCGTTGCTCTTGGTATATGGCGAAATATGATATTTTTTTGCATATGAAAACAGGGAAAAAATTAAAAATCATTTTTAAAATAACAACAAGAAAAATCTTAACATTTCTGTAGATCATTGGCTGTGGGCAGTAAAAATGGATTTTCATTATTTTCTCAAGTCTCGCCTCGATTCCGAACAGCCATATGGCCAGTTGAGCAACAACTGACTCTCGTGCACATTTTATTTGCATGAAGAACAGAAATGTTGTTTTTTTTCCTTAACATTTTTTTAATACGAACATTTCAATAGATTTCAATGAAATACAGGGAAGTAAAAAAAACATTTCGTTCAATAGCTCTACGAGATTTGATTTTAATCCATTTAAATGTTTCATATCGAAAATCAATTACTTAATCCTAAACAGTCTATGTTCGAAGTTTCAAGATAACTGTGTTTGCCAATTTAACGATATGATTGAAATCAGTCTTTAAATGTGCGCGCCAGTGTTTGCAGCGGCTCCAAATCACCGCTGGGAACACGGGACTTTGCACTCCATGGAAGATTCTTGCCAAACTACGACCGGTGAACTTATTCTCTGGGTATCGTGAAATCATGGTATAAACATCCGAAATGATGTAATCATCCATAGCCGGATCTGGCGGTGGTAGTTCCGTTATACTTGCTGCATAGTCAACTCTCTCGTTGGACTGGAAGTATTTGCGAACGAGCTGTTTTAGTCGCTCCGATCGCTCATCGTTCGGTTCAACTGCTGCACAAGCCAATGATGATTTCACGGCAACCGATGTCAAACCACGGAAAACATTCTCCAACTAAACGAAAAATTACAAATGATTCATTTAAATTTGCAACAAGAGACGATTGATTACAGAAAAATGAAATTATTCCACGAATTGTTACGCTTACTTGATTTACTTGATTGTTCTCTTGCTCCTTGACTCGTGAGAATAGCATATCGAGTGTTGAATCAAGTTCAGCTGGAGTAAGATCACCGGGAGCCATGACACGAAAACCGAGATCAGAGAACTCTACTGAAATGTTCGACCGCTTAGAAGCACCATTTTCTAAGAAGACATTTTTTATTCAGAATTTTGAAATAATAAAGAATTTTACTCAAATCAACACAGCTCAAAATATAGAACAGAAGAAAGAAAAAAAGATCCGATTTTAAATGAACCAACCTGTTGTCCATTCAAGCTGTTTGAGTTGATATTTGACCACTCCGCTGTTCCATCCGATGGCCGATGCGATATCAATCACGGGGAATTCAATGAAGGTTGAGTTGTCGTGTGAGATTCCCTTCCGTATGTCCAGTGCAATGGCCATTGCCAGTGGAGGACATTTTAAGGCGGCATTCTTGAGTGCCTTGGGTCCACCGTATGAAAGAACTTTGCACTGAATGTACGCTTTACTCAATGCTTTCACATATCGTTGATCGTGTAATTCCAAGTAGCACAATAGTGTCGCAATGTTCTCCTCCGGAATATCCAATTCGTTAATGGTTTCATCAACGGAGAAGCAAATTTCATGACCGGGGCAATTTCGATTGCCAGATGAGCCTTCTTCCACTTCGTCATTCCAGTTGATACCTTGAAGAGCATCAATATCTGCTTGAACCGCATCCTCAGCGCTGGCTTTCACTGCAGCCGGTTCAGACTTTTTACAAGCACACGGTTTGAAAATCTTGTGCAAAAGCTTACGAATGATGTGACGATCGATAGAATTTGCGTAAATGTGACGACGCAATTCCACTTTGTCTTCACCCTACAAATTGGAATCGATATGTGGTTTGAATAAATGACTCTATGACCAACAAAAAGTGAATTCGATGAAGAATTTTTCCTACTTTCGAATCCAAAAACAAGTGACAATGTGCTGGTTTTCCATCACGACCGGCTCTTCCCACTTCTTGCACGTAGCTCTCGAAATTCATGGGCATATTGTAGTGAATGACACATCGAATGTCCGCTTTATTAATACCCATTCCAAAGGCTATAGTTGCAACCACAATCTTTAGATCACCACGCATGAAAGCATTTTGAATTGTACGTCGTCTGGAGCCAGCCATTCCCGCGTGATACGGTTCAATGGTCGTTTTTAATGCACGCCTACGCTTTCCACTTGAATTTCGAAGCTCTAACTCTCGAGCAATGTTATCCTTTTTGCAAATCGAAATATATTAGCTGAGAACAATTTGATAAAAAATGACTAAAATAACGTTACCTGGAAGTAGGTTCTCAAATTCTTTGCCACTCGTTCGCATTCATCACGTCGTGAGCAATA